TATTCATAGCAAAAAACTAAACATTGGATCAGATGAATGGTTTTGTAGTATTAGTTTTACTAATAAAATGGTAAAACTAAATCTTCAAGTGATTCCAAGTTTTGAACATCAATTGTCATTTGAAGCTGAATACGTAATGTATATCATTGACGACAATAACCAATTGTTTTTCAAAAAACAAATTAATTATGACTTTGATTGGCGCTATCATTACAATAAGTCTGATATTTGTTCAGTAAAAGAGTTGTCGGATAATAAGGACCGACTATTGGCTAATAATATCCTAACCGTTGGTTTCGATATAACAGTTTACAGGGAAATCAATTGCCGAGAAAATTCTGTCCCAAAACCCAATCGTTTCGGAAGAAAATCGGAAGACATTACCAAAGATTGTCGATTAGTTGTCGGCAAAGAAGATCAGAAAGAGTTTTTCGTCTCAAAACTGTTTCTCAGTTCAAAGTCGGATGTCTTCGATAGGATGTTTACCACAGATTTTATTGAAAAGAAAAACAACGAAGTGATCATCGATGACATTGATAGCGATGTCTTCGAGCAGTTCCTACAGTATCTCTACACTGGAAACTGTGATAAATTGTATGAAATGTTGGATGAATTGCTATACGTTGCCGACAAATATATGGTATCTTCGCTGAAGACTATTTGTTTGAATTTGATTTTTTTGAAAATCAATGGTAAAAATGCTTTCCAAACAATACGACAATTGAAAGACTTTGGTGCCGATAGTGAACTCATGATTATGGCCAACAAATGGATCGGAGAGAACATCCCTTCAGTGGTTAATCAAGAAATTCTCAAACACTATACCATTGATTCAGATGATTTGTGGCTAATTTTACATTATTTAGGAAATCAATTGAGTCCAAGACAATCACATTTACTTTATTATACATACAGTTATAATAATTAAGTTAGATTTTCTTTGTATCGATATTTTCATTTAGTATTATATAAAAAAAACAAGTATTTTATTTGTTTTTTACTATTCAATTATTAGAAAATTTGTATGTATTTTAACAAAAATATTTTTTAGTTATCTATTATATTATTGTATTTCAGTATTACTGTCAAAATTAACATTCAATGATTTACATTAAACATTTCTATTTAAATTTGTATTTCACTTTTGTATTTAATTACATTATGAAAATTAATTAAATAATAAACTTTTATTTTTACCCATAAAATAAAAACAAACAAAACATTTTATTTATGATTTAATATGAGGTGTAGGATGTGTTGTCTGTAAGGGTATCTGTCCGCTGATCATACGATTGCTATCACCGACAAGTCGTAGATAGAAATCAGCAGATACTCGGACACCGTCGGCATCCAGTGTCAGAAAGTACTGGTCACTGGGTATGTCCTCTATGGTTTCGGCCGCTTTGGCAATGGCCGTACCCTCATCGTACTCGTCAAACATGGCTAGATAGGCACTGGGTATGGCCAGTTGCCTAAGATTGACAATCAATAAAAAAAAGTCAAACAATTGGATCAATGATAACATGATTTCAGTGTTTAATCAAGAAATTCTCAAAACACTATACCATTGATTCAGAAAATATATCACAAATTTTCACTCAATTAGGAAATCAATTGATTTTTAAATCTTATACTTATGTTTTTATAGTCATATAGTTATTTGATTTAAAAAATTAAATATTAAAATTTTGTCCAAAAAAAGGTTGTTTTATATATTAATAATTAATATTTCAAAACTATTTAATTGCTACATATTTTATTTATTTAAAAAAATTAATTGTTTACTAAATTAACTCATAATTTAGTGTTTTTTTAATTAACAAAAAAAACAAGTTATAATAATTAGTTTAATAATTAATTAAATACAATTATACATTGACTGATAAATTAGTTGTTGTAAAACTGTTGTATTATTATATTTCTCACGAGTTATTATTATTATTATTTTAAATTAGTATTCAATTCAAACTGATTATTACAATCAAACTGTTTGTCACACAAAAAAAATCAATCAAATCATATAACCAGAGAAACACATCCATCGATAATGTCATCGGCAATGGATAACAACGACAACTCAAACACCGCTAAAATTGTATACAAGACACGAGTGGTGTTCAAAGTGATGGACATTACAGAACATTTGGACACCGATGAATCAAACAGGAAATGCTTGTCTATTGACAGCAAAATGTTTACCATTGGATCAGATAACTGGTTCTGTCATATTCGTATCAATAACGAAGAGATGCTGTCATATCTAGAATTGTCAACAATTAATAAAACTTTATTATTACCAAATGAAGTACAAATTACGGTATCAATCATTGACAACAACAATCAATTGTTTGCGACAAAAGAAAATAGATATCTATTTCACATGAATTTCCGAAATAGTATACCATTAGTTGTCACAATACAACAGTTGTACGACAATAGGAACCGGCTATTTGATGGCAACGTACTTACCGTTGGTTTTGATATAACAGTGATTCACAAGAAATACAATGTCCACGAAATGTTTGACACAAATCGATATCGTTTCAGACAATTGTTTGTTGTCAAAGAGTTGACCGATTGTCGACTGATTGTCGGCAAAGAAGATCAGAAGTCAGAGTTTTTTGCTTCAAAATTACTTCTCAGTTCACAATCAGAGATTTTCGAGAAGATATTTACCACCGATTTTATTGAAAAGAAAAACAACGAAGTGATCATCGATGACATTGATAGCGATGTCTTCGAGCAGTTCCTACAGTATCTCTACACTGGACCTGTTCTCTCGGGTCGGATGATGTGTCGCCAAACAATGCATCCGAACATACCATCGAATACCGTCCCTCTGAACAGGTATGTAAATTCGGTCGATTAGTACTTGCATTCGTAGTACTGGTTCTTATAGACGGACACGGATAGCGTCCCATCGGATGCGGACACTTGTATCCGATGTTCACATTGTTTACCGTCAAACAGCTCACCCGATGGACACTGGCGCCGAGTGGCCCGTCCGTAGCATAGCATTCAAAATATTGGTCAGGTTTACCAGGAAACAGATAGTTGCCTCCGAGTTCTGGACACTGGAAATTACACAATCGGTCGAACCGTCGTAGATTCCCATGATCAGTACTGGTTCTTATAGACAGTGATGCAAAACTGGTAGCCAATTGTTTACCGTCACCGGTAGTAATGGCGTCACGAAATAGTGTCTGTATTGGCCAGAACTTTGCGGACATTTGAACGGTTCGATACATTGGCGACGATCAGTGTTGAACACTGTCAGCGATACGTTATCCCTGGATAGATGACAACGCTGTAGGACTGCCCTGTTATTGTAGCACATAATATAGGAGTGTTTGTCATCCGGGTGCTCATAGTTGCCATCCTCGGTACAGTCGATTGTACAACAATGGTGTGCTAAAAATATTTAATATGATATTTAATTTTTTAAAAAAAAAATTTCGTGTCAATCAGTTAATAATAATAAATAATTTTTTTCTAATTAGTTTATATTGTTTTTTTTGTTGAATAAATTATACATGTATTTGTTATTACCTTTTAATAATTTTTTTAAAAACTAATATACAGTATATATATTTCACTAAATAAATTAATTCACACTATTTAGATGTAATTTTATATTTTTTGTGAAATATTATATATTAATGACTCATTAAATTGTTTTATGTGTGATTTTTTTTATAATAACATAATTATTGTAATGTCTAATAATTTAGTTCACATTTTTGTAATTAAATATAGCAGCAAATAGTTGTTTTGAATTTATATTTATTTTCTATTAAGAAAAATAAACTGCACTTTATATTTTTATGACATTATTTAATTTACTGTATAATATATATTATTTATATGTATATATATTATCTATAAAATCATTTAACAAAACAAAAAAAACTCTTACTATATTTATTTATTTATTTTATTTTTTTAATTAACTATTTATTGAAATACTGTTACATTAGATATATATTTTTTCTAATTATATTACTATAGTATTTATCTATTTATTATATATGTTTAGCCCTGACCTTAAACCAGACAATAATAACAACAAAATTAATAATATTAAATATTATTTTCATCTTATCGTTATTGATTCAACAAACAAACAAAAAAAACACTTAAAATTTTATTTTTAATAGTATATAAAGGATAATAAAATAATAATAAATATTTTATTTTTTATATATAAATATATAATTTTAATAATTTAATTTAAATATATAAAAAATTGAGTTTAAATTTGTTTCATTAATGTTGTTATTAATTTAAATATAATTAATTAAATTAAACAATTTTTTATATTATAATAAAGCAGATACTTTTTATTATTACTTTATATTTTTATATAAATTAAAGTTTAGATGATTTTTTTACTAAAGATTACCGTGTAGAGTAGATGATTTAAATGAGCATTAGTTTAAAAATTTTTGCACAGGGCCTGCCCTCTTTTCAGGAGGTGTGGGCCTAATAAACAATATCAAAAAATAGATGCATAATAATTAAAATACACATATAATTAAATTTATTACTATTTGTAACTGAAAATATATTTATAGATATTTTTAGAAAAAATACATTTGATTTTTAGTTAAACAAAAAATAAAAATATTTTTTTTTAAATGTTTAGACAACGGCTTAACGGTATGGCCGGTAAAGTGATGGCCAGTGCCGAACATTATGACCGCAAGTTCTATATAATGTGGGACATATCGGGTTGGGATAAGTTTGAATCGGAAATACCCGATGATTTGACCGTAAATCTGAAACCGTTGGGTGTATTCAACTCCAGTGCCTATGCCCACCAAAACGGTCGGCCTGTTGTATGTATGTGGGGACTGGGATTTACTAATCGACCGAAAGATACGGCCGGTCTGATCAGGCTTATCGATGCACTCAAACTTGAGGGCTATTATGTGATTGGTGGTGTGCCACGTAATTAGCGCGATATTAGCAACTTTCGGGAGGTATACTTACGGTTGAACATGCTACAACCATGGGCAGTCGGATCAATGTCAAGTGTCAAAGGGGCTCAGTTATATCAGCCGGTGCTCAAGGCTGACCACGAGTTTCTCGTACAACATAACATTGGTATGTTTATTATATAATAATAATAATAATATTGATATTATTTATATATTTAGTTGTTTGTTAAGTTATATTAATGTAAATGTATTATTATTATATTGTATTATATTTACAGTAAATTAACTTAATTTATGTTATCTATATAGTAAAATACATTAATGTGTATTACATCCAATATAATAATACATTTATAGTAATATAACTTAAAAAACATAAAAAACATTTAATAAAACTGTTATTGATAGTGTTAATATAGAGACAACTTAGATACTATTTCTAGTATAGATAATAATATTGTAATAATAATCATCATATTTCAGTATATATATTGTATAATTAAGGCTTAATTTGTATGTATAAATTATCAAGTACAGTTTTCAAATAATTTCATGTATTGTAATGCATTATATTTCAAAGTTAGACTAACTGTTATAATATATACTAATATACTATACTATAAATTTTATAATCAGTAGTAATAATTTTTAGTACATTTATATTATACATTGAATATTGGTCTGATTTATTATAGATTATCAGCCGGTACTGTATCCCGGTTTTGCCTGGAGCAATTGGCACAACACAACCCGTAACGCCCAGCCCCGATTGCATGGTGATTTTATGTGGCAACAGTTTGTCAATCTTAGACAACTGGCCATACCCAGTGCCTATGTAGCCATGTTTGACGAGTACGATGAGGGTACGGCCATTGCCAAAGCGGCCGAAACCATAGAGGACATACCCAGTGACCAGTACTTTCTGACACTGGATGCCGACGGTGTCCGAGTGTCTGACGATTTTTATCTACGACTTGTCGGTGATGGCAATCGTATGATCAGCGGACAGATACCCTTCGTTGTTTTTCTTTTCAATAAAATCGGTGGTAAATATCTTCTCGAAAATCTCTGATTGTGAACTGAGAAGTAATTTTGAAGCAAAAAACTCTGACTTCTGATCTTCTTTGCCGACAATCAGTCGACAATCGGTCAACTCTTTGACAACAAACAATTGTCTGAAACGATATCGATTTGTGTCAAACATTTCGTGGACATTGTATTTCTTGTGAATCACTGTTATATCAAAACCAACGGTAAGTACGTTGCCATCAAATAGCCGGTTCCTATTGTCGTACAACTGTTGTATTGTGACAACTAATGGTATACTATTTCGGAAATTCATGTGAAATAGATATCTATTTTCTTTTGTCGCAAACAATTGATTGTTGTTGTCAATGATTGATACCGTAATTTGTACTTCATTTGGTAATAATAAAGTTTTGGCTAATCCGGAGTTTACGCACATTAAAAAAAGTTGATTTTTTTCAACAGATAATAGTTAATTATAACCTAAAAAACATATATCCATCAAAATTATTGCGCGGAAACACCTAAAACCTAACTAAAACCTAACCTAAATACCTGAGCTCTCATAACATAATTCTACACTAATTATAAATAAATTAATATTAAACAAGCATAAAGCGCGTGAACAAAATTAACATTTATAATATTGCTAATAAAATAATATTGTTGTAATTTCTTTATAATACTTTTAAAAACAACTAGTTGTCCACGCTGAACATATAACCATCTAATTTTATAGAATTTATAAATAAATTGAACCACAATAATAATGATTTTAAAACATAAATCCAATATATGAATGTTATTTAACGTGACAAACACTGATTCCGTAACCCCAGTACTATATAGATTAGGTTAGGTTACCATTGAAAATTATGTTAGGTTGCGGATCGAACACCATGTTAGGTAACGCGACAAACACTGATTTCGTAACCTAAGTACTGTATAAATTTGGTTAGGTTACCATTGAAAATTAGGTTAGGTTGCGGTTCGAACACCAGGTTAGGTAACGCGAGAAACACTGATTTAGTAACCCAAGTACTGTATAAATTTGGTTAGGTTACCATTGAAAATTAGGTTAGGTTGCGGTTCGAACACCAGGTTAGGTAACGCGAGAAACACTGATTCCGTATCCCCAGTACTATATAGATTAGGTTAGATTACCATTAAATATTAGATTAAGTTGCGAAGACATTGACACTTAAATTCATATATACATACAAACATTTTAAAATTATATAGTCGTATAGATAATAATATAAAACTATTGTTTTATTATACAGTGATTGATAACAATATTCACGCGCTTTATGTTTTTTAATATTAATTTATTTATAATTAGTATAGAATTATGTTATGAGAGCTCAGGTATTTAGGTTAGATTTTAGTTAGGTTTTAGGTGTTTCCGCGCAAAAATTTTGATGGATATATGTTTTTTAGATCATAATTAACTATTATCTGTTGAAAAAAATCAACATTTTTTAATGTGCGTAAACTCCGGATAGGCCAAAGTTTTATTAATTGTTGACAATTCTAGATATGACAGCATCTCTTCGTTATTGATACGAATATGACAGAACCAGTTATCTGATCCAATGGTAAACATTTTGCTGTCAATAGACAAGCATTTCCTGTTTGATTCATCGGTGTCCAAATGTTCTGTAATGTCCATCACTTTGAACACCACTCGTGTCTTGTATACAATTTTAGCGGTGTTTGAGTTGTCGTTGTTATCCATTGCCGATGACATTATCGATGGATGTGTTTCTCTGGTTATATGATTTGATTGATTTTTTTGTGTGACAAACAGTTTGATTGTAATAATCAGTTTGAATTGAATACTAATTTAAAATAATAATAATAATAACTCGTGAGAAATATAATAATACAACAGTTTTACAACAACTAATTTATCAGTCAATGTATAATTGTATTTAATTAATTATTAAACTAATTATTATAACTTGTTTTTTTTGTTAATTAAAAAAACACTAAATTATGAGTTAATTTAGTAAACAATTAATTTTTTTAAATAAATAAAATATGTAGCAATTAAATAGTTTTGAAATATTAATTATTAATATATAAAACAACCTTTTTTTGGACAAAATTTTAATATTTAATTTTTTAAATCAAATAACTATATGACTATAAAAACATAAGTATAAGATTTAAAAATCAATTGATTTCCTAATTGAGTGAAAATTTGTGATATATTTTCTGAATCAATGGTATAGTGTTTTGAGAATTTCTTGATTAAACACTGAAATCATGTTATCATTGATCCAATTGTTTGACTTTTTTTTTTTTTTTTTTTATTGATTGTCAATCTTAGGCAACTGGCCATACCCAGTGCCTATCTAGCCATGTTTGACGAGTACGATGAGGGTACGGCCATTGCCAAAGCGGCCGAAACCATAGAGGACATACCCAGTGACCAGTACTTTCTGACACTGGATGCCGACGGTGTCCGAGTATCTGCTGATTTCTATCTACGACTTGTCGGTGATAGCAATCGTATGATCAGCGGACAGATACCCTTACAGACAACACATCCTACACCTCATATTAAATCATAAATAAAATGTTTTGTTTGTTTTTATTTTATGGGTAAAAATAAAAGTTTATTATTTAATTAATTTTCATAATGTAATTAAATACAAAAGTGAAATACAAATTTAAATAGAAATGTTTAATGTAAATCATTGAATGTTAATTTTGACAGTAATACTGAAATACAATAATATAATAGATAACTAAAAAATATTTTTGTTAAAATACATACAAATTTTCTAATAATTGAATAGTAAAAAACAAATAAAATACTTGTTTTTTTTATATAATACTAAATGAAAATATCGATACAAAGAAAATCTAACTTAATTATTATAACTGTATGTATAATAAAGTAAATGTGATTGTCTTGGACTCAATTGATTTCCTAAATAATGTAAAATTAGCCACAAATCATCTGAATCAATGGTATAGTGTTTGAGAATTTCTTGATTAACCACTGAAGGGATGTTCTCTCCGATCCATTTGTTGGCCATAATCATGAGTTCACTATCGGCACCAAAGTCTTTCAATTGTCGTATTGTTTGGAAAGCATTTTTACCATTGATTTTCAAAAAAATCAAATTCAAACAAATAGTCTTCAGCGAAGATACCATATATTTGTCGGCAACGTATAGCAATTCATCCAACATTTCATACAATTTATCACAGTTTCCAGTGTAGAGATACTGTAGGAACTGCTCGAAGACATCGCTATCAATGTCATCGATGATCACTTCGTTGTTTTTCTTTTCAATAAAATCGGTGGTAAATATCTTCTCGAAAATCTCTGATTATGAACTGAGAAGTAATTTTGAAGCAAAAAACTCTGACTTCTGATCTTCTTTGCCGACAATCAGTCGACAATCGGTCAACTCTTTGACAACAAACAATTGTCTGAAACGATATCGATTTGTGTCAAACATTTCGTGGACATTGTATTTCTTGTGAATCACTGTTATATCAAAACCAACGGTAAGTACGTTGCCATCAAATAGCCGGTTCCTATTGTCGTACAACTGTTGTATTGTGACAACTAATGGTATACTATTTCGGAAATTCATGTGAAATAGATATCTATTTTCTTTTGTCGCAAACAATTGATTGTTGTTGTCAATGATTGATACCGTAATTTGTACTTCATTTGGTAATAATAAAGTTTTATTAATTGTTGACAATTCTAGATATGACAGCATCTCTTCGTTATTGATACGAATATGACAGAACCAGTTATCTGATCCAATGGTAAACATTTTGCTGTCAATAGACAAGCATTTCCTGTTTGATTCATCGGTGTCCAAATGTTCTGTAATGTCCATCACTTTGAACACCACTCGTGTCTTGTATACAATTTTAGCGGTGTTTGAGTTGTCGTTGTTATCCATTGCCGATGACATTATCGATGGATGTGTTTCTCTGGTTATATGATTTGATTGATTTTTTTTGTGTGACAAACAGTTTGATTGTAATAATCAGTTTGAATTGAATACTAATTTAAAATAATAATAATAATAACTCGTGAGAAATATAATAATACAACAGTTTTACAACAACTAATTTATCAGTCAATGTATAATTGTATTTAATTAATTATTAAACTAATTATTATAACTTGTTTTTTTTGTTAATTAAAAAAACACTAAATTATGAGTTAATTTAGTAAACAATTAATTTTTTTAAATAAATAAAATATGTAGCAATTAAATAGTTTTGAAATATTAATTATTAATATATAAAACAACCTTTTTTTGGACAAAATTTTAATATTTAATTTTTTAAATCAAATAACTATATGACTATAAAAACATAAGTATAAGATTTAAAAATCAATTGATTTCCTAATTGAGTGAAAATTTGTGATATATTTTCTGAATCAATGGTATAGTGTTTTGAGAATTTCTTGATTAAACACTGAAATCATGTTATCATTGATCCAATTGTTTGACTTTTTTTTTTTTTTTTTTATTGATTGTCAATCTTAGGCAACTGGCCATACCCAGTGCCTATCTAGCCATGTTTGACGAGTACGATGAGGGTACGGCCATTGCCAAAGCGGCCGAAACCATAGAGGACATACCCAGTGACCAGTACTTTCTGACACTGGATGCCGACGGTGTCCGAGTATCTGCTGATTTCTATCTACGACTTGTCGGTGATAGCAATCGTATGATCAGCGGACAGATACCCTTACAGACAACACATCCTACACCTCATATTAAATCATAAATAAAATGTTTTGTTTGTTTTTATTTTATGGGTAAAAATAAAAGTTTATTATTTAATTAATTTTCATAATGTAATTAAATACAAAAGTGAAATACAAATTTAAATAGAAATGTTTAATGTAAATCATTGAATGTTAATTTTGACAGTAATACTGAAATACAATAATATAATAGATAACTAAAAAATATTTTTGTTAAAATACATACAAATTTTCTAATAATTGAATAGTAAAAAACAAATAAAATACTTGTTTTTTTTATATAATACTAAATGAAAATATCGATACAAAGAAAATCTAACTTAATTATTATAACTGTATGTATAATAAAGTAAATGTGATTGTCTTGGACTCAATTGATTTCCTAAATAATGTAAAATTAGCCACAAATCATCTGAATCAATGGTATAGTGTTTGAGAATTTCTTGATTAACCACTGAAGGGATGTTCTCTCCGATCCATTTGTTGGCCATAATCATGAGTTCACTATCGGCACCAAAGTCTTTCAATTGTCGTATTGTTTGGAAAGCATTTTTACCATTGATTTTCAAAAAATCAAATTCAAACAAATAGTCTTCAGCGAAGATACCATATATTTGTCGGCAACGTATAGCAATTCATCCAACATTTCATACAATTTATCACAGTTTCCAGTGTAGAGATACTGTARGAACTGCTCGAAGACATCGCTATCAATGTCATCGATGATCACTTCGTTGTTTTTCTTTTCAATAAAATCGGTGGTAAACATCCTATCGAAGACATCCGACTTTGAACTGAGAAACAGTTTTGAACGAAAAACTCTTTCTGATCTTCTTTGCCGACAACTAATCGACAATCTTTGAGTAATTTCTTCCGATTTTTGTCCGAAACGATTGCGATTTGGGACAGAATTTTCTCGGCAATTGATTTCCCTGTATAATCAATGTTATATCGAAACCAACGGTTAAAATATTATTAGCCAATAGTCGGTCCTTATTATCAACAACTGTTTATACTGAACAAATATCAGATTATTGTAAATTCATAGTCGAAATAAATCATAATTCATTCTTTTTTGACAAACAATTGGTTATTGTCGTCAATGATTACATTACGTATTCAGCTTCAAATGGCAATAATGAAGTTTTAAACTTGGAATCACTTGAAGATTTAGTTTTACCATTTTCGATTAGTGATACGAATACTACAAAACCATTCATCTGATCCAATGTTTAGTTTTTTGCTATTAATAGTAAAACCATCACAATTGATTCAAACGACAATATGTATTTCATGATGTCCATCACTTTGAACACCACTCGTGTCTTGTATACAACATTAGCGGTGTTGGAGTTGTTGTCGTTGTTATCCATTGCCGATGACATTATCGATGGATGTGTTTCTCTGGTTATATGAATTGATTGATTTTTTTGTGTGACAAACAGTTTGATTGTAATAATCAATTTGAATTGAATACTAATTTAAAATAATAATAATAATAACTCGTGAGAAATATAATAAAATAACAGTTTTATAAAACAATTATTTTTTAATCAATTAATAAAAATACTTAAAAAACAGTTACTTTTGTATTAAATAAATAATTAATTAATAATATATTACTTTAAAAAACAAATTAAACAAACATTTATCAAACTATAATAATTTATTAATCAATGTATAATTGTATTTAATTAATTATTAAACTAATAATTATAAACTTGTTATTTTTGTTAATTAAAAAAATATTTTCTGACTAAATTATGAGTTAATTATGTAAACAATTAATTTTTTTAAATAAATAAAATATGTAGAAATTAAATAGTTTTGAAATATTAATTGTTTAAATTGTTTGTTTAATAAATAAAACAACTTTTTTAGGACAAAATTTTTAATATTTAATTTTTAAATCAAATAACTATATGTATAAAAACATAGTTTCAAAAAAGCACAAGTTTATTATTTAACTAATTTTCAGTAATATAATTAAATATAATACAAAAGTGAAATACAAATTTTCAATTACAAATGTTTAATGTAAATCATTGAATGTTAATTTTGACAGTAATACTGAATACAATAATATAATAATACAATATATTGTTTGTTAAAATACATACAAATTTTGTAATAACTTTATAGTAAAAAAACAAATAAAATACTAGTTTTTAATCAATAATACTAAATGAAAATATCGATACAAAGAAAATCTAATTTAATTAATATAACTGTATGTATAATATATTAAATGTGATTCTCTTGGAAGCAATTGATTTCCTAAATGAGTAGACAATTTGTGACACATTTTCTGAATCAATGGTAGATCCGTAGTGTTTGACAATTTCTTGATTAAACACTGAAGTGATGTTATCTCCGATCCATTTGTTTGCCTTTTTCATGAGTTCACATCGGCACCAAAGTCTTGCAATTGTCGTATTGTTTGGAAAGCATTTTTACCATTGATTTTCAAAAAATCAAATTCAAACAAATAGTCTTCAGCGACGATACCATATATTTGTCGGCAACGTATAGCAATTCATCAATCATTTCATACATTTTGTCACAGTTTCCAGTGTAGAGATACTGTAGGAACTGCTCGAAGACATCGCTATCAATGTCATCGATGATTACTTCGTTGTTTTTCTTTTCAATAAAATCGGTGGTAAACATCCTATCGAAGACATCCGACTTTGAACTGAGAAACAGTTTTCTAACGAAAAACTCTGACTTCTGATCTTCTTTGCCGACAACTAATCGACAATCTTTGAGTCAATTTCTTCCGATTTTTGTCCGAAACGATTGCGTTTTGGGACAGAATTTTCCCGACAATTGATTTCCCTATAAAATGTTATATCGAAACCAACGGTTAAAATATTATTAGCCAATAGTCGGTCCTTATTATTCAACAACTGTTTAACTGAACAAATATCAGAGTTATTGTAACGAATAGTCGAATTAAACTCATAATTCATCTCTTTTTTGACAAACAATTGGTTATTGTCGTCAATGATGTACATTACGTATTCAGCTTCAAATGGCAATTGAAGTTCAAAACTTGGAATCACTTGAAGATTTAGTTTTACCATTTGATTAGTAATACAAATACTACAAAACCATTCATCTGATCCAATGTTTAGTTTTTTGCTATTAATAGTAAAACCATCACAATATGGACACAAACACAATATGTATTTCATGACTTCCATCACTTTGAACACCACTCGTGTCTTGTATACAACATTAGTGGTGTTGGAGTTGTTGTCGTTGTTATCCATTGCCGATGACATTATCGATGAATGTGTTTCTCTGGTTGTATGAATTGATTGATTTTTTTGGATGAAAAACAGTTTGATTGTATTAATCAATTCTAGAATTGAATACTAATTTAAAATAATAATAATAATAACTCGTGAGAAATATAATAAAATAACAGTTTTATAAAACAATTATTTTTTAATCAATTAATAAAAATACTTAAAAAAATAACAGTTACTGTATTAAATAAATAATTAATTAATAATATATTACTTTAAAAAACAAATTAAACAAACATTTATCAAACTATAATAATTTGTTAATCAATGTATAATTGTATTTAATTAATTATTAAACTAATAATTATAAACTTGTTATTTTTGTTAATTAAAAAAACACTAAATTATGAGTTAATTATGTAAACAATTAATTTTTTTAAATAAATAAAATATGTAGAAATTAAATAGTTTTGAAATATTAATTGTTTAAATTGTTTGTTTAATAAATAAAACAACTTTTTTGAGGACAAAATTTTTAATATTTAATTTTTTAAATCAAATAACTATATGTATAAAAACATAGTTTCAAAAAAGCACAAGTTTATTATTTAACTAATTTTCAGTCTATAATTAAATATAATGCAAAAGTGAAATACAAATTTTCAATTACAAATGTTTAATGTAAATCATTGAATGTTAATTTTGACAGTAATACTGAAATAATAATACAATATATTGTTTGTTAAAATACATACAAATTTTGTAATAACTTTATAGTAAAAAAACAAATAAAATACTAGTTTTTAATCAATAATACTAAATGAAAATATCGATACAAAGAAAATCTAATTTAATTAATATAACTGTATGTATAATATATTAAATGTGATTCTCTTGGAAGCAATTGTTTTCCTAAATGAGAGACAATTTGTGACACATTTTCTGAATCAATGGTAGATCCGTAGTGTTTGACAATTTCTTGATTAAACACTGAAGTGATGTTATCTCCGATCCATTTGTTTGCCTTTTTCATGAGTTCTTCATCGGCACCAAAGTCTTGCAATTGTCGTATTGTTTGGAAAGCATTTTTACCATTGATTTTCAAGAAAATCAAATTCAGACAAATAGTCTTCAGCGACGATACCATATATTTGTCGGCAACGTATAGCAACTCATCAATCATTTCATACATTTTGTCACAGTTTCCAGTGTAGAGATACTGTAGGAACTGCTCGAAGACATCGCTATCAATGTCATCGATGATTACTTCGTTGGTTTTCTTTTCAATAAAATCGGTGGTAAACATCCTATCGAAGACATCCGACTTTGAACTGAGAAACAGTTTTCTAACGAAAAACTCTGACTTCTGATCTTCTTTGCCGACAACTAATCGACAATCTTTGAGAATTTCTTCCGATTTTTGTCCGAAACGATTGCGTTTTGGGACAGAATTTTCCCGACAATTGATTTCCCTATAAAATGTTATATCGAAACCAACGGTTAAAATATTATTAGCCAATAGTCGGTCCTTATTATTCAACAACTGTTTAACTGAACAAATATCAGAGTTATTGTAACGAATAGTCGAATTAAACTCATAATTCATCTCTTTTTTGACAAACAATTGGTTATTGTCGTCAATGATGTACATTACGTATTCAGCTTCAAATGGCAATTGAAGTTCAAAACTTGGAATCACTTGAAGATTTAGTTTTACCATTTGATTAGTAATACAAATACTACAAAACCATTCATCTGATCCAATGTTTAGTTTTTTGCTATTAATAGTAAAACCATCACAATATGGACACAAACACAATATGTATTTCATGACTTCCATCACTTTGAACACCACTCGTGTCTTGTATACAACATTAGTGGTGTTGGAGTTGTTGTCGTTGTTATCCATTGCCGATGACATTATCGATGAATGTGTTTCTCTGGTTGTATGAATTGATTGATTTTTTTGGATGAAAAACAGTTTGATTGTATTAATCAATTCTAGAATTGAATACTAATTTAAAATAATAATAATAATAACTCGTGAGAAATATAATAAAATAACAGTTTTATAAAACAATTATTTTTTAATCAATTAATAAAAATACTTAAAAAAACAGTTACTGTATTAAATAAATAATTAATTAATAATATATTACTTTAAAAAACAAATTAAACAAACATTTATCAAACTATAATAATTTGTTAATCAATGTATAATTGTATTTAATTAATTATTAAACTAATAATTATAAACTTGTTATTTTTGTTAATTAAAAAAACACTAAATTATGAGTTAATTATGTAAACAATTAATTTTTTTAAATAAATAAAATATGTAGAAATTAAATAGTTTTGAAATATTAATTGTTTAAATTGTTTGTTTAATAAATAAAACAACTTTTTTTAGGACAAAATTTTTAATATTTAATTTTTTAAATCAAATAACTATATGTATAAAAACATAGTTTCAAAAAAGCACAAGTTTATTATTTAACTAATTTTCAGTCTATAATTAAATATAATGCAAAAGTGAAATACAAATTTTCAATTACAAATGTTTAATGTAAATCATTGAATGTTAATTTTGACAGTAATACTGAAATAATAATACAATATATTGTTTGTTAAAATACATACAAATTTTGTAATAACTTTATAGTAAAAAAACAAATAAAATACTAGTTTTTAATCAATAATACTAAATGAAAATATCGATACAAAGAAAATCTAATTTAATTAATATAACTGTATGTATAATATATTAAATGTGATTCTCTTGGAAGCAATTGTTTTCCTAAATGAGAGACAATTTGTGACACATTTTCTGAATCAATGGTAGATCCGTAGTGTTTGACAATTTCTTGATTAAACACTGAAGTGATGTTATCTCCGATCCATTTGTTTGCCTTTTTCATGAGTTCTTCATCGGCACCAAAGTCTTGCAATTGTCGTATTGTTTGGAAAGCATTTTTACCATTGATTTTCAAGAAAATCAAATTCAGACAAATAGTCTTCAGCGACGATACCATATATTTGTCGGCAACGTATAGCAACTCATCAATCATTTCATACATTTTGTCACAGTTTCCAGTGTAGAGATACTGTAGGAACTGCTCGAAGACATCGCTATCAATGTCATCGATGATTACTTCGTTGGTTTTCTTTTCAATAAAATCGGTGGTAAACATCCTATCGAAGACATCCGACTTTGAACTGAGAAACAGTTTTCTAACGAAAAACTCTGACTTCTGATCTTCTTTGCCGACAACTAATCGACAATCTTTGAGAATTTCTTCCGATTTTTGTCCGAAACGATTGCGTTTTGGGACAGAATTTTCCCGACAATTGATTTCCCTATAAAATGTTATATCGAAACCAACGGTTAAAATATTATTAGCCAATAGTCGGTCCTTATTATTCAACAACTGTTTAACTGAACAAATATCAGAGTTATTGTAACGAATAGTCGAATTAAACTCATAATTCATCTCTTTTTTGACAAACAATTGGTTATTGTCGTCAATGATGTACATTACGTATTCAGCTTCAAATGGCAATTGAAGTTCAAAACTTGGAATCACTTGAAGATTTAGTTTTACCATTTGATTAGTAATACAAATACTACAAAACCATTCATCTGATCCAATGTTTAGTTTTTTGCTATTAATAGTAAAACCATCACAATATGGACACAAACACAATATGTATTTCATGACTTCCATCACTTTGAACACCACTCGTGTCTTGTATACAACATTAGTGGTGTTGGAGTTGTTGTCGTTGTTATCCATTGCCGATGACATTATCGATGAATGTGTTTCTCTGGTTGTATGAATTGATTGATTTTTTTGGATGAAAAACAGTTTGATTGTATTAATCAATTCTAGAATTGAATACTAATTTAAAATAATAATAATAATAACTCGTGAGAAATATAATAAAATAACAGTTTTATAAAACAATTATTTTTTAATCAATTAATAAAAATACTTAAAAAAACAGTTACTGTATTAAATAAATAATTAATTAATAATATATTACTTTAAAAAACAAATTAAACAAACATTTATCAAACTATAATAATTTGTTAATCAATGTATAATTGTATTTAATTAATTATTAAACTAATAATTATAAACTTGTTATTTTTGTTAATTAAAAAAACACTAAATTATGAGTTAATTATGTAAACAATTAATTTTTTTAAATAAATAAAATATGTAGAAATTAAATAGTTTTGAAATATTAATTGTTTAAATTGTTTGTTTAATAAATAAAACAACTTTTTTTAGGACAAAATTTTTAATATTTAATTTTTTAAATCAAATAACTATATGTATAAAAACATAGTTTCAAAAAAGCACAAGTTTATTATTTAACTAATTTTCAGTCTATAATTAAATATAATGCAAA